ATCTATAGCCGGCCGTAGCCGTTACTAATTATTAATACTAACTAAACTTAAAATACTAACGACCCTATTATTATAATATATTAATTACTTTTTTAATAAGTAAATACTACCCCTTATTTTCTCTTTTTATTTTCTTTAATAATAACCTCTCCTTAATATTCCTATTTAATATACTCACTTATACTCTTTTTAAGCTCTTAATTATATTATTAAATCTAGGCTTATTTTTATTACTTTTTTAAATTAAAATAGTACTAATAAGGGTAATACTGATTATAATATATTTATTTATTTTTTATAAATTAATATTATAAATATAATATTTATTAAGGTAGTCTTTTTATAACTCGGGGCTACTTAGTATAATACTTATAAGATCGAACTTTTAATTATTAAAAAAGCCCTAAGGGTTAACGAGTTATTAATAATATCTCGGTATTTTAATAAAGTATACTTAAGGTAGATAGTTAGATAGTAATAATAATAGCAATAGTATAATAATAATAGCGTAATAATAATAAATAGTAAGAGAAGCGTTTTTGATTTTAATAAAGGAAACGAGGTAACGAATATATATATATATATATAAGTTAAAATTAAAAGTATTAAGGTAGATATTATAAGGTTAGTATTATTCTTAATAATAGTAACGAGGGTATTTCTAATACTATATTATTATAAGCTATTATTATTTAAAAAAGTAATTAACTTAGCTAGGCGCGAGCTTATAAAGTAGTAGCGTCGGGCGCCTAATATTACTATTAATAATCTATAGTTATAAACTTTATAAGAGGGAAAAGTAAAAAGGTAAAAAATTTAAAAAAACTAGTTTATTAAAATAGTAGGAGTATTTATTAATACTATATATTAATATTATATAAATAATATTAAGAATCGCCCGAGTAGCTAGTAAAGGCAGAATATAAAAATAAATACTTACTATAACTAGCTAGCCGTAATAATTAAAACTTATTTTTAAAATTAAAGAGCGAGGATTTAAAATCGTAATACCTTACTTATTTTATTATTTATTAAAATAAAAATATAAGATATTAGAGGGTAAATTAAAATATTATAAATATATACGTCGTAGTTGTTTTTATAATACGACTATTAGTACTATATATAATTATAAGTTTCTTTTTATTAATACTTTTTATATTAATTATATTTATAATAGATCGTTTTTTATTTAAAACTAATAGATTAAAACGTAAAAAAGAGGTAAAAGAGCTTTTTTTTAAAAAATAAGTAAAAGCTTTATACTATATATAGGCTAAAATAGATTAGGTTTTATTAAAATTAAATCGTTTTTAAAAAGAAAAAAGAATAGTATTTAAAAGGGGGAAAGTAATCCTTAATTTTTTTGATATTATTAATAAAAATAAGTCGGCCGCTGCGCGGGAGGTATAATTTAGTAATATTTTTAAAATAATTAATTAGGACGCTATAATAATTAGGAGTTCTAATTTTAATTTTAATTTTAGTATTTTAAAAAGGATTCTTAAAAGTTCTAAAAGTTCGTAATAAGTTCTTATATATTCTTTTTATATTTATAGGTTTTTTATTTAATAAAGAATTTTTACGTTTTATTCTTAATTTTATAATTAATAATCCGTTCGATTTCGTATTTTAGTTAGTTTAGTTCGATAATAATATAATTTTTTATATATAAACCTCTTAATATAGGTTCGAGTAATAAAATATAAAAGACGGGATAGTATTATATTATACTTAGTAATTTTAATTCATAATTAACTAATAAGACTTTTTTAATAATTTCAAAAGGTCTAAGCTTATTATAATCTAATTTATTACTTAGTTATTTTATTTTAATATTATAATAAAAGAAATAAGTACTATTCTCTTTTTTTAAAAATAGTTTTTTAATTCTTAATCTATCCGCGTTTTTTCTTATATATTATTATATAAACTCGAGGTTTAATAAAGTCTATTTATAAATCTTCTTAAGTTTACTTATATTTATTATAGTATTTATAATTTATAATCCTTATTATACTTCTCTATATATTATTAACTAAAATCCATAATTAAAATAAAACGGAGATTTTTTAATATTTTTATTAACTATATTATTATATACGAACTAAGTTATTAATAAAAGTACTACTTAATTATCCTAGTTATAGTTTATATAATAACGGAGGTATATTTTAAAGATCTAATTAATCCTTTTTATTTATTTATTAGTTTATAAACAAAATAATATTAATAGCTTATAGTTTATACTAAGTTATAGAATTAGTAATTTCTAAAACTTTGAAATAAATAGCTAATCCCTATTAAAAATAATTTCTTTTAATAAACTATAGTTCGAAAATATAACTTTAATAAATATATATACTAAGTTTTTTATAGTATTTAATTTTTTATAAAGAATAAAATATACAAACTTAGTAAGTTAATTAACTATAACTAAGATACTATTATATTATATTTTAATAAATAGTTCTTTAAACTTTAGTAGTTTAATAATAAAGTCCTATATAATTAATTACTATACTTTTATTAGTAATTATAATAGTTATAGCTTATTATAAGGTTTATATAGGCTATTTTTACTTTTTTTATAAGTCGCATAATCCTTAATTACTTTTATAATTTTAATATATATAGCGGATTTATTATATTATTAGTGAATCCGTTTTTATATTTTAATAATTCCTTAGTAATTATATATTAATATATTATAAATTTTTATAATAAGTTTAGAGGTTATTTTTTTAATTGGGCTAGTATTAATCTTTTTAATTATTATAAAGAGGTTTATAATTAGTATAAAACTATTATTTTTCTCTTATTTAAAAATAACTTATATTTCTTTAAAAACCGCGACTTTATAGTTAGGTCTTTTATTAAAAACGTTTATTTTACTATTTTTTAAACCATTTTAATGAATAATTTAGAAATTATATTTAAATAAGGATTCGCTCTATTTGACTTATTATTTATTTAAGTTTTTATTTATTATAAAGTTTATAAAGTTTTTATGATTTATATAAACTATTATTTCGTATTTAGTTTTAGATAATTATAATCTCTATTTTTAAAATACTTCGATAATTACTATTAGTTCCTTATTATAAATTTACTAATTTAATTTTATTTTATAAAATATTTTAAAATAAAAGTAATATAAATAAAGCTTTCTTTACTTATCTCGTTATCCTAGGACCGCTCCTATAGCGAAGTTTAAACATTAATCTTAATTTTAAAAAGTTTTTAGGGGTTTAAAATTATAATAACTAGTTTAGAAATAACTATGTAGTGGTTTTTTTCTAGCTTTATAAGTATAAAAGATAGACCTTAATGGGATTACGCTTTTAAGAGAAATTATATAATATAATATACTTTTTAACTATATAATATATATAATATATCCTAAAGACGTGCTTAACGTAATATAGTAATTTTAATATAAAAACTGCTATTTAATTCGGGATAAGTAAGCTACTTTTTTTAATAACGGCGCTAGTTAAAAAGGTCGATAATAGAGGTCGGCCGTAATAGTTAGTTATAATAATTAGCTATAATAGTTAATTATAATAATTAGAGGTGGCCCTTAACTATAGAGGTTCTGAACTTTAATAACGACGTAAAGGTTTTTTAAAAAAAAAGGCTAAATAAGTTAATATTTACTATTCTTTATATTAAAGCTTATAAAAATTCTTTTTATCCTTATTATTTTTAATATTACCTAAAGCTACTCTTTATTTAGACTAAATAAATCTACTAAATAAATTTACTAAATAAATTTACTAAATAAACTTATTAATATATAAACTACTACTCTCTTAGTATATAGTTAGTAATTAGTAAGCTAAAGATACCCGTTAATAAGTTTACCCCTCTTAGGCTAGGCGCCCTCTTTAGCTAACTTAACGCTATAGTTATTATAGTTAATATAAATATACTTAAGGAGTAATAAATTACTTTTTAATAATATAGAATTTAGCTAAGTAATATTATAAGCGCTATAAATAGCTAGGTTAATACGGATATTAAAATTTAATATATTAATATTAGCCTAGTTATAATAGTTATAATAAATAGGTTAAAAGTATATAAAGTTAAAATAATAAGCTAGTACTTTAAATAGCTCTTATAAAACCCCCTAGGTAATAATAATATTTATATAAAAAATAGATTATATTAGACTTAGCTACTTATATAAGTTAGTATTAAGAGGTTTTATATATATTAAAATAAGTAAAGTTTACTTTATAAGCGGGTAATAAAAGGTTAGGAGCTATTAATAAAAAGGAGATAATAGTCGAGTTAGTTAACTATTATTTTAGTTAGTAGTTAGGTATAAAGCGTATTATACTTAGTTTTCCTTAATACGTAATATATAGTACGGCCCCGGCGGATTGCTCTATTAGGGGGTTAGAAATGACTATATTCTTAACTTTAATAAATACTTCTTTATACTTAGGGTCCTAAATAAATAAGTTATTTTTTTATATTAAATTATTAAAAAGTCTAATTTTATTAGTATAGTCCTTAAGGAATCGTTAATAAAAGTTAATGAATCTTAAAAATCCTTATATATCCTTAACGTTTTATAATATAAGCTAGTCCCTAACTATTTCTTTTTTTAATACTTATATATAAATTTATCTTAATATATTAATATATCCTAAAAATCTATTTTTATATATAAAACTCGTACTTAAAAAGTTTAGTATATGGTTTAGTATTTTAAAGTTTTTAAAATACTATGTAAATATACTTCTTATATATTTCGAAGTTAGAAAAGAAAATAAAAATATTATTCATATAAATAATAATAAAAATATTAACCTACCCCTAAAATACGTAGTTAATTATTATTTAAAAATTTACTAAAATATTAGTAAGTCTAAAGGGTATAACGAGGTACTTAAAGAGTCCTTTATAAGTTTAGAATACTATTTTCTATTTATTTATTTTTTAATCCGAATTTAGTTAAATATTTCTTTAAGATTTATAGTAATAAACTAATTAGTTTTATAAAATAAATCTCTAAGTTTAATAATAAGTAATAAAAAATAGTAATTCTTTTTTATAATTTTATTAAGTTTTTTATAATTAATAATAAGTCTTTGTTTTTTTATTCTTTTTTTAATATAAAAAAATAAAAGTAATTTTACGGGAGAATTCGATAGTTAAATATTATAATAGATTTAGAATATAGCCGGTAATAAGACGCTAATAACTTAGCGACCCGTATATAGATTATATTATAAAAGAACTTTTTTAAAAAGTAGAGCTTATATAAAGGACTTTATAAGCTTTAGTTTTATAATATACTTATACTTATATTATAGCTTCGCTAATTAAGTACTTATAGCCTAATTTTTTATAATTTCAAAGTTTTTATTTTTACGGAGTAATTAGTATAAATAATAATAAATTATAAAAACAAACAAAATGTTAACGAAATAATACTTAGTTATTAGCAAAGAGCCGTTAATATTAACGAGCTATAGTTATTTAAAGTTAATTACTTAACTTTATTTTATTTAAAAAAACGAGCTTATTACGGGGCGAGTCCTATTTAAATACTAGCGTTTATAAAAGAGCTAAATAAAGAAGATAATTGGAGTAGATTATTTTTATAGGCTAGTTATTTTATTAATACCCCGAGGACCCTATTTGTTATAAACGGGGTATTTATTAATAACTAATTATTAGATATATAAGGTCTAAGTATATATAAAGGCGTAGGTAGTATTAGGATAGTTAGTTTAATAAACCTTATAAGTTTAATAATAACCTATTTTTATAAAATAATAAAAATAATAGTTAAAAATTAAAATTAAAAACGGCGTTAATATAAAAAGCTTATTTAATAACTTACCGAGTAGCTAATAATATATTTAAATTAATAAAAATATAAAAAGCTCCTTTCCCCCCGACGGAGCAATCCGCCGGGGCCGTACCGTGTATTACGTATTAGGGAAAACTAGGTATATTACGCTCTATACCTAATTACTAATTAAAACTCCCGACCTTCCCCCGCTTTTAGCCGTCTAGAGGGTAAGCTATACTTACTTTAATATATATAAGACCTCCTAATACTAGCCTACATAAGCGGCTAGATCCTATATTATATACTCCTTCTTATTAAAGGTTAAAGGGCCCCTTATATATTCTTTTATATTTATAATATAGCCCGTATTAAAAAGATTTCTAGCTCTATAAAATATAATTTCTAAGCTAGTATTAATATATTAAATCTTAATATTTATATTAACCCGGCTATTTATAGCGTTCGTACTATTACTTAACTAAATTCTGTACTATTAAAAAGTATTTTATTAATCCTCGGGCGTACTTATATTAGTTATAATAGCTATAGTATTAAGTTAATTAAAGAGGGCGCCTAGCCCGAGAGGGGTAGACTTATTAATAATTATCTTTAGAGAGTTCTAGCCTATTAATTACTAACTATATACTAGGAGTAGAGTAATAATTTATATATTAATAAGTTTATTTAGTAAATTTATTTAGTAAATTTATTTAGTTTAAATAGAGAGTAGCTTTGGGTAATATTAGAAGCGATAAGGATAAAAAAAATTTTTATAAGCTCTAGTATAAATAGTAAATATTAGCTTATTTAGCCCTTTTTTTAGAAACCTCTACGTTATTATTAAAGTTTAGAACCTTTATAGTTAAAAAAGGCTATTTTTAATTATTATAGCTAATTATTATAGCTAACTATTACGGCCGACCTTTACTATTAACCTTTTTAGTTAATACTACTACGTAATAAAGAGGGTAGCTTACTTATCCTAAATTATATAGTAGTTTTTATATTAAAATTATTATATTACGTTAAGCACGTACTTAGGGTATATTACGTGTATTATATAATTAAAAAGTATACCGTATTATATAATTTCCTTTAAAAGCGTAATCTTATTAAGGTCGATCTTTTGTACTTATAAAGCTAGAAAAAAACCACTATATAAAAAGCTCCTTTTTTATAATTATAAACTAATTAAAAAAAAGTCTACGAGTACCTAAGTAATAAACTAAATTATTATTATAAAAATAAGTAATAATTTTTATATAGAAAGTACTATAGAATAGTATATTAAATAAGCCCTATTTAAAATATCCTTATTATTATAAATATAATAGTATAATTATAAAAAGAGCCTCTAGGATCCCCTTTCTTAGGGCGACTTTTTAGCGTTTATTTATTAATAATACGTAGATTTTAAAATATAAGAACGGGAATATTATAAAGAGCTAAGAATAAAGAAGTTAAAAGAGGGTTAGACCCCTATTTAGTTTTTTACTAAATAGTTAGTAATTTATTATAACCTAAGTATAAAAAATATAAAAGATTTAAGAATAGAGGTATATTAGTTCTTTTTTAAATTATTATTTTAGTTATAGGACGACTTAATTTATTATAAGGTTTTAATTAAGAGAGTACGTAATATAGTTTATAAGGTTAATAAACTATAATTATTAAATTAGTAAAAGGGTAGTAATTAGTTATAAAAGGACGGTAAGAAGAGGCTATATTTATTATTAAAATAATTATATTAAATATCCCCTTTTTATAAAAAAAAGAGTAAAGAGAGCTCTAAGGGGCTAGGTTTTAGAAACTTATTAAAAATAATATTATAAAAACTATATAATAAAAGTACTTATACTAAGTTATTATAGAAGTATTATAATAATAATATTAAGTATTTTATATATTATAAGTTAAGCTATATATTTAGTAAGTACTAAAAGAATAAGTTAGGAAGTAGGGGTAATAATAAGTTAACATACCCTTAATTAAAGCTAATATTAATAACTATTTAATAAGTCGTTACTAAGTTAAGAGTTATAAAGGTCGATTTTTTAAAAAACGAATAGGTATAAGCGATATATTTAATATACTTATACTAAGTATTAAAAAAGTATTAATAAGAATAATTACGAAAGGTAAGGTAATAGTTCTATAAAGAGTTACTAAAAGGCTAATAAAAGTTAATATAAATATATATTTTAAAATAAATATTATTAATATTAGGCTCGTAACTTATTTAGGGTTAACTTTAGTTATTATTATAGCCCCTTTATTAAGGGACTTTTAAAATAAAGCCGTAGGCTAAGGAAAGGTTTACTAATTAACGCTCTTCTTTATTAATTATTATAAATAGCTAAGGAAGATTTAGTAACTATTTATCGTAATTAATAGGGATCAAAAAATAGTAAACTTTTTATTATTATAACTATTAATAAGCTAAGAGGGTATTTATATTAATATTATAACGAATATATAGTTATACGAGCTTATTTTTATTACTAAACTAGAGGTAATAATTTATAATATTATTTAAAATCGTAAAAGGGCTTACGTATTATATATTATTATTATAAAAAGTATTATAGGGATAATAAAGATTAAATTATAAAGGGGTTTATTATTAAAACTTTAATTAAAAATAAAGACGTTTAATAAATAGTTAGTAAAAGGACCGTAATTATATAGCGGGATAGAATATTTAATTAACTTAATTTTAAATACTAAACTACTATATAGCCCTATTTATTTACTAAGTAAGAAATAACTTAATAAGCTTTGCGCATATATTATTAAAAACCTAGTAAACGGTTATATTATATTTTTAATTAATAAGGCTAGAGTACTAATCCTTTTTATATTAAAAAAGGATAGTATACTATGCTTTTATATAAACTATTATAAGTTAAATAAAGTAATTATAAAAAATCGATACTTATTATCACTTATTAATAAGCTCTTAAATAAGCTTTATAAAGTAAAATAGATTTTAAAAATAAATATTAAGGATACTTATTACTATATCTAAATTAAAAAAGAAGATTAATAAAAAATAGCGTTTCGGAGCTAATATAGCTATTTTAAATATATTATTATACTTTTTAAATTAATAAATATACTTATAACGTTCTAAATATATATTTACTAAACGCTCGCTAATTTACTAAATACTTACTATATAATATATATAAACGATATAATAATTTACTTAATAATAAGGGAGTAGTATATAAAGGATATTAAAAAGGTCCTTTAATATTTATAATTATATAAGCTTTTTATTAAATTATTAAAGTACTTATTTTATTAAAAAAGGGTCGAATTCCTAAGTTATATTATTATATTAAAAAGAATTAAAATTAACTTATTATAAGTACGAACGATTGCTAATTAGAAAGTACTAGAGTTTATTAAGGATATTTAAGTATTCCTAGGGTTCTATAACTTTTATTAAAAGTTTATTATTAAATACTTAGGTATTATTATATTAATAATAGTATTATTAAAAATAAAAAGGGGTAAATAAAGGATTTCTAGTAGACTAAGGAAATAAATAAGGCGTTTAATTAGCTAAAAGTCGCTTTTACCTTAGTAACTATATTTATATATTAGAACTTATAACGTATTATATAAATAAAAACCGATACCTCGGTTAAAGCTATTATAGTAATTTTATTATAAGAAGCTAATAAAAAATAGTAACCTATTACTTATTAATTACGGAAGCTCTTAAATATAGAGTAATAATAAGCTATAGGTTAATAAAAATTACTTATTATAATAAAAGAGCTAGAGTACTAAGCTTATTACTTCTAGGGTTTTTTATAAAAGTTTATAATCTTAATAGATTATTAAGTACTTAAAAAAGTAATTAATATATTAGTATAAGACTTTTAAAAAAAAGCTTATAAAGTAAGTATATAAATTATTAACATTTAATTTTAATTTAAAATACTAATTAAGGAAAATAAACCTAGCGAACGGTCTATTTAAAAAGTTAAATTATATAAAAAAAGAAGTATTTTATAAGGACGTCCTTTTTATACTAATTTAAAAACTACGTTTTATTAATAAACTATTATTCGATATTTAGTAAAAGATAATTAGTTTAAAAAAAAAATATTATTAAAGTATATATTTAAGTAGTTAAGGCCTCCCTTTATAATCCCGGCTAAATATTAGCTAGTTTTAAAGATAAAGAATCCTCTCTCTTATATTAATAGTATATTATAAAGCGTATTAATAAAATAATAATAGTTATTATTATAATAACTTAAAATAAAAAAGTAAGAGAGTTATTAATAAACGCTTATTAATAGTTTAATAAGGATAAAAAGGAGTTAAATAGAG